GGGATGGAGGCAAGAGGTCGCTGCTCTGGGATAGTCTCACCTACAGCTAGTAAAGACAAGTCAATAAAAGGAGCAGGAAGAACCTGATCAACCTGTGCCAACTGAGATGTGATAGAATGAAAGGGTTGTTGATCAAGAAAAGTGACTTCAACGGAAACAATAGAAAGTTTAATATTAGGAGAATAACAATGATAACCCTTTTAAAGACGAGAGTAACTAAGAAAAGTACACATAAAGGCTTTGGATGTTAACTTGTCCTTACCAAGAGTGAGATCTTGAACAAAACAAGTACAACTAAAGATATGTGGGGATAGAGGATAGAGAAGAACATCTGGAAACAACAGGTTATGGGGAATGTCATTGTTAAGCACAGAGAAAGGCATACGGTTGATGAGAAAACAAGAAGCGAGTACTGCATCTGCCCAAAAGTGAAGAAGAACATGCATGTGAATAAGAAGAGTCCGGGCAGTTTCAATGAGATGTCTGTTTTTATGTTCAGTCACCCATTTTGTTGTGGAGTGTGAGGACAAGTAGTCTGGTGAAAAGTACCTTTTGTGGCCAAGAAATTAGAAAAGTCAAAAGAAACATATTCCTTAGCATTATTGCTACGTAAAATACGAATAGAGGCACCAAATTGAGTATGAACATCATCAGAAAAATTGAACATCATCAAAAAAATTTTTATAAATGAAGAATAACTCAAGAACGATTTTTTATTAAATAAATCCAAGTACAAGGGGAATAATCATCAATAAACGTAACAAAATACCGAAAACCTAAAACAGACAAAGCACGACTTGCATCCTAAATATTTGAATGAATAAGATAGAAAGGATCATCAGTTCGTTTATTGACTCGACTGGCAAAGGAGGAGCGTTTATGCTTCCCTTGCTGACACGACAAACAATCTAAAGACCGAAGACCGGATAAAAAAGGAACCATCTTCTGCAATTTTGAAAGACTTGGATGACCGAGGCGACTGTGGATTAGTTGTGGAGATTCTGTGAGAGAGCATGCCACTGAAGGGCGAGGCATAACCAAATAGTAACGACCTCGTGACTCACGGTCCACTCCAATCGTCGTCCTCGTACCAGGATCCTGCATAGAAACAAAATAGTTTGAGAAAGTAATGATGCAAGTAAGGGAATTGACCAATTTACTAACAAATATTAAGTTATAAGGGATGCCAAGAATGTAATAAACAGATGTCAAGGTCAAAGAAGAGGTTGGACGGGCTTGTCCAATCCCACGAGCAGGGCCTTTAGTGCTATCAGCAAGGGTAAAAGAAGGTAAATGATCAAAATAAGTAAGAGATGTAAAGAGTTCCTTATTACCACAAAGGTGATTGGTAGCACCTGAGTCAAATATCGAAGGATCAAGTGATGTAGAATGAGAAACACAAGCAACAGGATTACCAGTATCTGAAGCGGAAGGTTGAGACCGAGGAGAAGCCTTCCTGAGTAGAGTTTGGAGTGCTGCATAGTTTGCAGATGAGAGAGAAACTGAACCAGATGAAGCAGTATCTGACTGAGCTATAGTCGCAGCACGAGAGGGTTGCAGGTGAGGATACTTCGTGTAACAATGCTCCTTAAAATGACAATATCTGTACTAGCCCCGGCCATGACTGCGACCACGTCCATTGTTCCTGCGAGGGTCAGTACGGGAAACAAGAGCAGTGGAATCAACAACAAAAGATAAATCAGGAGCAGAAATGGTTTCTTGTTGAGATTCAAAAGGCGTTGGTAAGTCAGTGATAAAGCAGGATCCCCACTAGTCAAGATAGTGTCACCGACACCATCATACTCCTTGGGAAGACCAAAAAGAGTGGCAACCATAAAGAGACGCTCCACCTGTTTCCTATATCAAAGGCATCAGTAGGGTAAGGCAACATATCCAAGTATGACTGCATCAAAGATCGACTTTTGCCAACATATATCTCCATCTGAATGTCAGATGATTTGCGCAAATCCATGAATTGAGATATGATAGAATAGAGTTGCTGAATATTTATAACACCCCTAAATTTCTAACAATTTTAACAACAATAAAATATTCTTATAATAAATAAATTGTCAAAATTCATGTTTTATACAGTTATGATAATAAAAAATATTGCGGAAGCTAATCTAAAACTAATTTGGGGAAATGTTACCGCCGCACCTGTACAAGGACAAGTGCAAGGCTAACTCTATTACATTCAAATAAAATCTAAGACTACTTTTTTGATACATAATATTTATGACTAACCAGAAATATCTGAGTCGTTATCCTCACGTCCCACTGCTAGCCCGATCCTTTGGAACCTGATTCACTGAAACTCTGCTCCCCCGTAGGATCATTGCAGCCAAACAAACACAAACAGTCAGCAAAGCTGATAATCCCAATCAAAATACAATTAATGTAATTAATAATGAAATTAAATCAAATATCTATATATATAATCAAATAGTGATCAAATCAATATCAAATCCACGTTAATCAAATCAAATAACAAATTTCATTATTAATCATGTTTAAGTTTATTGTATTTAGTGGGAAGAGAACCATGGTAGACCCGGGAAATAACCCTGTTGCCAGTCTACCCCGTGACTCGGAAAATAACCACTGTTGCCAGATACCACTTTGGGAAGAACGGAAACATCATTGTCACATCAAATAAATATCAAAGGCATAAAGCCCAAAAAGTTGTGTTCATCACTTTGGGAGGTACCATCCCAAAGCTATCCTCCCACTATTAATTATTCACAGTCACACATAATTTCAATTCAATCATAAATATCATAATTGAAAAATATCATGACATCAATTTAATCAAGAATATCATTTCAATTATCCAAAATATCAAAATTTCCAATCATCATTACACATAATCCAATCATCATAACAATTATTCAATTATTTCAGGGTATAAAAATCATAATTTCCACAATTATTCATTAAAATTTATATCGCACATATATTGCACATAATCAATTTTCCATCATTTTATCAAATGCAAAATCTGTTATCAAAGCATTAAGATTATTCCCAAAATAATTAATTATATTATTTTCTAGGAGTTAAAACCCAATAAAATTGCATACACAACAAATCTATAACCACCTAGGGATTAGGATTACATATAAGGATTACACCCAATTTCATATAAAAGTGACCTAAGAGCACCTAGAGATTAGTATTACCTGGTCTCCATATTTGGTGACTTCTAAGAGGAAAAAGCAGAGAAGAGAAGCGGTTGTGACCAAATTAAAATAAATAAATAAAATTTTGAGGTAAGAAGAGAGTAGCAGAGGAGAAGAGGAGGAATACTAAGGATTGAAAGTGAATTGGTTTGGTTAGGCTAGGCCTCTATTTATAGTTGAAGTTTTGGGCTCGGATATGAGTTTCGTGCAATTATTTCCTTATTCTTCATTGATGTATCTGGCTCAGATATTAGCTTCATACACTATTTCTTTTTTATTCTTAATTTCTTAGAATATAGCTAACTTATTTGCTAACTCAAGGTTGACTCAATGCTGACTCATCATATCTAGTCAAATTATGTTTGTTGACTTATCTTAATTAAACATTACCAATCAAATAATCAAACATTAAAGCATAAATGATCAATCAATTAATAATTTATTTAATTACAATTTATCATCTAATATAATATATATATATATATTATTTTATTATTAATAATCTAAAGTATTACAAAGTATCAAAATCAATTTCCAATAGCACTCATATCGCACATATATCGTACAAAACAGTTTTATCAAAGGTAAAATTTATATTATAATTTGTTATCTATCACCATCAAATATGAATATAAATATATATATATTATTACTACTAATTTATAGTTTATTATTATTATTATTATTAATTTATTCTTATTATAAATTACTATTATTTTTCTGGGATATTAGAATATCATTAGTGTAGAGATGTTGGGCTTCCTCCCACACTTCATAGCATGTCTGAAAAGAATAGAAAAGGATACTCAGAAACTAGTTGTCAATTCTTTCCCAATCAGATTTCTCTTCCTTAAGAATAGCAATAGGTTGAATAGTGAGATATCGCCCATGCCCCTATCCAAAGAACCAGACACGAACAGAGGTGGTCCAATTCTTGTAGTTAATAGAACCCTTCAGTTTGGAAGAGGTAATGAACCTAACATTAGTGGAGATGATACCCGAGGAATTTTTGGCAGGAGGAGGAGAACTAACCTCCGAGTGAACAAGAGATGATGCTGCCATTAAATTAAATTATGAATGTAAAAAAAAACTTGCAGAACCTATAAGCAAATTGATAGCCAAACAAGAAGAAACGCGCGCCAAACAAGAGACCCACGAAGAACCAAGAGTAGATATGGACAAAGGGGACAAAACAAAGCATTTCTGTCCTGAAACGATCCAAAAAGGACGCTGGAACAATGTTTCCGGTGATGAACAATGATTCTGGCAATGAACAATGATTCCGGCGGTGAACAATGATAGAAACAAGTCAGAGGGACGCACGGCGTAGAGGACCTATCGGAGGGACACACAGCAAATGAAGTTTTGTCGGAAGGATGCACAACCAGGAAGGAGAGAACACCTAAGCAGTGGGCTTAAGGTTTTGGCTCACGTAAGCCAAAGGCTTAGGTTTCAGCGGAGGCGAAAGTTCCCAAAACAAAGAGTTCTGATACCAATTTGAGATACTTGAGATTGGATTATTGTGTGTCTAATACGAGCACACAAGGAATATATTTATATTAACAAGTACAAAAACGGATCTATCATATACAAAATGTGGGATTATTCTGTTATATACACTCTACTACTTTAACATACTATTCTAACATATTCTCTCGGGCTTTGATAGCATGTCTTGGACAAACTTGAAAAAGGTTTAAGCTTAAAATCAAAAAGTATTAGGTGAATGCTAATAAATGGTTTCAAATCTATCAGTCTTCACTTTCTTCAATATAAAACTTTACAAGAATCTTGCAAATTTCCATATGAATTTGGCAGGTATTTTTATTTCAAAAAGCAGCTATTTACAAGTGTAACATGGCTGGAAAGCCGGCTGTTGTCACACGTGTTGTGGACACTATGACTGATAATCTAAGACCTACTCGTGCTGAAGCAACTGATGTTGCCAATGCAGTGTTGGATGGTAAGTTTTATTTTCCTGTTTTATATTCCTTTTTGTTATATTTGGTGTAGTTTGTTTTGTTTTGATTTTGACGGCTTTATGCATTTTAGAGACACTGTCATTGGATACATCTATATATTTATATTTATTCATCAATATTCTTTCAATTGTATCATGTTTATCCATGCACCATTAATCACTAAATACGTTTTCTCCTTTTCATTGGTTCAGGAAGTGATGCAATTGTTCTTGGGGCAGAGACTTTGCGAGGATTATACCCTGTAGAGACTATTTCCATTGTTGGAAAAATTTGTGCTGAGGTAGGTTTTTGCTTTAGTTATAAATGACATTTTGTTGTAAATATAAAAGGAATAATTATGTAATTATTGTAGATTTGTTTTCATTTATTATCAGGACTGGTTTGTAGGACATATTTGTTTCGTATTTCTTTTCACGAATTTTGCTCTATTTTAGGTTAAGTAATTATTGATATAAGTCTATATATTGTAAATACTTTCTATACATTTAGTATCACAAAATAATATTAAGAATATTTTCCCATTCCCATCAGTCTCCATTGCTGTTAAAACTAGCCTTCATTGTTGGGTTCACTCTGCCTTCATCACACGCTTGTTACTGTGACATAACCCAGTCCATATCTCACACCCAACCATCGGAGCAAGGACACTTGTTGTCATCTAGATTTATGACCGGCAATCTCCTAGAGCTTGACTGCCAGAACATCCCTCATGCGCCTACATGTTCATGTCCTCTTACCGGTGTGTGTAAGCCATGTGCCACTGTCTTGGTCTATGTTCACCTTGCCAGCAGTCCCATTGTGCTTGTTTGCATACCTGCTCTTGTTTTGATGGTTAGAAGTCTTAGTTGCCACCTTGGTGTTAGTCCCCCTTGCAAGACCTTGCGCCCTTTCTTGGGATTCATCCTATCTGTATCACTGCTTCAGTTTCTGCCATGCCTGACTTTGAGCCCAACAAATGTGATGTATTAACTCCTCAACTTGAGTGATGATGGTGATGGAAGTAAGCGATTGTTGATGTTATAAGGATCTCTATTACTGTACCTATTTTAGTAATCTGAGTAGAAGGTCCTTATCACATTCAAAGGCAAAAACCTGACAAGCTCATAATCAGTTTCTCTTTGCAGGCCGAGAAAGTTTATAATCAAGATTTATATTTCAAGAGGACTGTCAAATATGTGGGAGAGCCGATGACTCATTTGGAATCCATAGCTTCCTCTGCGGTACTTCTGTGTTTTGCATGACTCAATTATTTGGGATTGTTTTAAATTTTTTTTTTCCCACTTCCATAATGCTATTTTGCTCAGTATTTTGTGCATAGTAAAGTACATATTTGGAAATGATATTTCTGTTGAAATATGCAGGTTCGAGCAGCCATCAAGGTTAAGGCCTCTGTTATTATTTGCTTCACTTCAACTGGAAGGGCTGCAAGGTTTCATTTTCTCTATTTTATCACTCCCCTTTATTTAAAGAAATTTCTAATGTTGGGGTCAGTGATGCTAATGTTTATGCATTTCTTGTTTCTTCATATTAAATTATTATATTGATACTTTCTCAGTTTATGTTGGGTTAAGTTGATGCTTGCTATATCGTTGCTCTTTTGATATCTTGCTAGAACAACATTTATCTGTTATTGTGTAAATGTGTAGGCTGATTGCGAAGTACCGACCAACCATGCCTGTGATATCTGTTGTCATTCCTCAGCTAAAGACAAATCAACTCCGATGGACTTTCACTGGAGCTTTTGAGGTATTTAATTGACAGCTTGACATGAGTTGTTTCATGGAATATATACATAGATGTTAGAATGATGCAAGTGAATTGTTGAAATTGTGAGAAATTTAAAGAACATTAAATTTTTTATAAATCCCAAGGCCTCTGTTGAAATTGTTAGAAACACTGGAGCTGTTTGAGTCAGCTTGATTAGATTCCTTGATTCAGCTCAGTGCTGTTGGGCGCCCGAATAACTTCTTTGAACTGAGTAGTTTGTATCTGGACTTCTGCAATGGAGCTTGATAATAAAGCCAGATATAATTAGCTTCTCTTAAACCACTGATTCAAATTATTCAAAGGAATTTTTCCCTATTCTATTTCAGTTTCTTCTACCAAAAAAACCAAAATCACTCCTCATTAAATCCGACTAGCGAGTGTGGGGTGGAGATAATCCTTGTATGCAGTCTTACCTTTGCATAATTGCAAAGAGGCTGTTTCCTAGATTCGAACCCATGACCTTTTAGCCTACCATAAAAATAAAAAAAAAACAAAAACAAAAACAAAAAAAAAATTAGGTCTAGATAAAACAGTAGATGAATAGTTTTATGCATGAGTTATCAATTCATGTGAGTTTTATGTTAAACTTGAACTTTTGACATTCTTAAATTTCTCTTTTGAAGCTGCAGGGTTAACCTCTTGTCCTTTTCATCAAGCCAAGAGGGCAATGAGATTAGAACTCATGACCATTTGGTTGCAGGTTTTGATATCTTGTAAAACAACAAATTCAACCCAAAAGCTTTGACTATTAATTGAAGGCCAATTCAATGGTTTTATATATTCTATTCTATCATCTACCAATCATACATGCAATGCTTCAAAACCTTGGTGTGGATAAACCTCAGCACATAAAAAAATTGCTGTTTAGTATTCATTACGGTGTAAAGAAGCAGTCATTGCGGAAACGTATTTCAAATTTCATTTGATAGTGAAAGTGGTGTAAAAATGCTGCTGTTCTATGCGTTTAACCTTTATCCTTTAACTCTTGCTTCAATTACCCATTAATGTGTTCTTATTTAAATTGAATTTTTGTCTATATTCTTTTCTTGACTTGCATTTTAACATTTCACATCGAAACTAATATATTCTTTCTGTATCCATTTATGATCCTTTGGCAGGCAAGGCAATCACTTATTGTGAGAGGTCTTTTCCCTATGCTGGCAGATCCACGACATCCTGTAAGAATTATTTGATGTCAATTGGTTTAATGGTGTGAAATGAGGAATGGGAACCAACGAAGATCTCAAAACCTAAAAAATTCTTGTTGCACATACTTGATAGCTAAAATATTAAAACTGATAATGCGCCTTATGTAATGCAAATCAAATAAAAGAATCTCTACTAGCAAGCCTCACTTAAGACTCAAGAAACCTGAACTCAAAATAGGAAATAAAACTCTAGTCAAACTGAAAATAACACATTCCAAGGCCCAAATTACTAACCCCCAATTTCCACGTTACTATTGTTTACACTCTAAATCCCAATTATCATTGAGAGTCCTTATTATTGAAACTTGATATAAAATCAGCGGTCCTGTCTTTTGGGTATATTTGTGGTCATGCACTTGTTAACTTGTAAGTTTGTCTCTTGGGTGCAGGCTGAGTCTAGTAGTGCAACAAATGAATCAATTTTGAAGGTTGCTTTAGACCATGGCAAGGCTTATGGTATCATAAAGCCACATGATCGAGTTGTTGTGTGCCAGAAAGTTGGTGACTCCTCGGTTGTGAAGATTATTGAGCTTGAAGATTAGAACTTGTATCATTTTCAAGGTTGAATTATAAGATTTCTTCTTCATCTCAGCTTTTTCTTTTGCATGTTGTAATAATTAAAAAAAAAAAAAAAACATCAAAGATATGGCAGTAATGTGTGCTTTTAAAATTTATATGCCCAAAAAGGGAAACTTCTAACCTACTGTCATTCCTTGTCTCGAGTGTCATTCCCTATAATTAAGTGTCAATGCAGAATAAACATAAACGTTGCAACAATCCCATAATGATAAGGCGTCAGAAGGCAACCAAGATTTATTTAAAAATAAATAAATAAAATGGAGTCATTGCTAATTTTGTTAAAATTTAAGAAGATATATATATATATATATATATATATATATATATATTAATTATTAAGGAAGACTTTACTTCGAAAATTGAGGTCAGACTCCAGAGTCTGAAAATTTAATCTCATTGTATTTTGGATTATTAAATTTTAAAAATGGTTACTTAAAGTTAATTAGGCAAATTAATAATAAACTTTAAAAGAAAAGATTATAGAAATCCTAGACTTTTACGGAGGAGGAAAAAGAAAAAGAAAAGATTACAGAAATATTGATCTTTGATGAATTACATGAATAAAAGAAGGGTTCAATTTTTCTGTAGTTACTGCAGATTAAATTATCTGCAGTAAGCCCATTACGAAATCGTTTTGGGACGAAAATCATAGTGTTTTATAATTTTAATTTATTTCAGGGTTATATGTTCTTTATAATTAAATTTTTTAATATTTTAATTTCAAAACAATGTCGTTTTGAGAGTAAATGCAGATAACTTATATGTAGAAACATTTTTCTGATAAAAGAAAGAAAATAAAAGATTACATGAATCCCAAGGTTTCCATTCATGAGACAACCATAGAAGAGAATACATTCAAAGATTACATTAATCATAAACATTCCATGGAGGAGACAACAACAAAATAGAGGAAAACAAAAGATTACATAAGGCAAAGTGTAAAAGTAAATAAAAGAAAAAATCGTTAAATCCTACGCCTTTCACATGTATGAGGAAACTAGAAAAGGAAAGAAAATAGAAGAAAACACTATTTACCAAGGGTAGATACAGATCTCTAAATGCTTCCACTTTTTTCAACACTCCAAGTCATTTGCAACCCTCCAAATTATAGAGAATTCGGAGTAACTATTGTGTTACACTTTTTTCTTTTAAAAATGTCTCACTCCATTGATGACTTTTCTGGCACATCCTTTTTTGTTACTTTTATTGCACTCCAATTTGCAAAAATAAACTGTGTAATTTGAAGAAAAAAAAAAAAGTTATTTGCATATAAATTGTAGCCTTGGATGTTGGCTATGTTTGAACTCAAACAGAGTTCCGTAGCTCCACATATGGCCCAATCACTGCAAACGTGTCTAGTTCTTCACTTTTCTAGCACCTTCATTCTTGACTTGTATAGTTGCCTGATTTTGACCATCAAATGGTGCAGTTGGAAAATTTTTCCCGATGGCACTCTTCTTAACGGAATATGAGTCTTGGAGCTCTATATACGACCCAAACATTGCACTCAGGTTTGGGTTTTAGTGACAGCATTAGCATTCAGACGCATTTTGATCAACTAGACGTACAATCCAGCTTTGGGACTACTCATAAAAATTGTAGGGTTATCTCTTAGCTTAACAACAAGACAAGAATCACCACAATAGCACTTCTGCATATCAAGTTATGCTCAAAATAAAGGGTTCGTTTCAGAAATTCTAGATTTATCAAGTTAAGCAATTTGTTGTAACATGACCCAATTGAGCCCATTGTCCCAAATTAATAACAAGACTGTTGGGCTTCCTCCTTCAATGCTAAGCCCAAGCCTATTTGAAGGGTTTCCTAAAAATCCTAACCCTAATTTCCACCTCCTCTATATATACTCATTAGTTGTGGGTGAAGGCTACGTTAAGAAATTTGAGAAAATTATTTGATTGTTTGAGCAAAGCTTTATGCTTTGCATTTGAGAGATCTCTAGAGAGAGTTTGAGTGAAACATCTCTAGGGTAGTTTGATTATCACCATTGTTGGAGAGGTTGAGTTAACCACCACATTGGTGTATTTGATTATTTGTAACCATTATTTTCATAGTGGATTTCTGATCTGGACTAGGTCCCGTGGGTTTTTACTTCTTCATTGGAGAAGGTTTTCCCACGTTAAAATTGGTTGTGTTCTTCTTCTCTCGCTTGTTTTGTGATTTTTCGTTTTTGATATTTCCGCTGCGCTGCCTGACCTGGTGAAGTTCAGGCCGAGATATTGCCGAGATCCGAGATCAGGATCTTGTTGATTGACTTCCGCACAAAGGCTGCTTAGCCGAGCTTGAGGGAACCGAGTTCCCAACAGTGGTATCAGAGCCTGGATTGGGCTTGAGCTAGCCTAGTAATTGGCTAGGAGGCGGATCGAGTACTTTACGCTTCGGGTACTCGGTTGAGGAGGAGCATACCAATGGTGGGTTTCACACTTGAGGGGGAGATTGTTGGAATATTCAAGTATGATGAGTTCCACATTGGTTGGTAATGAGCTAAGTGAAGAGTATATAAGTGGAAGGGACCCATGAACCCATTGCCTTAAGGTTTTGGGTTGAGACATGGTGTCAGATCCACTTGTTACGGTTGGTGTAGCCTTAGCTCATTGGTGGTGGCCCCCGCCACGGGCTTCCCCTAGACCCGCTTGACATTGGAGTTTGAGGGAACGAATTTCCCAACAGTGGTATCAGAGCCCGAGTTCGACGGGTTCTGAGGGAGACGAGATGGAGACCAGTGGCATAACTCATGATGGAGATATGTTCAAGTTGACCGCAGACAACTTCACTTATTGGAGACCGATGATGGAAGATCATCTCTACTGCAAAGATCTGCATGAGCCCATTATCCTTGATGAGAGACCGGCAGGCAAAACTGATAAGGAGTGAGAGATCCTGAGTCGGAAGGCGGTAGCCACGATCAGGAAATATATTGATAAAAGCATCTTTGAGCACGTGTCCGAATTCACGAACGTGTAAGAGTTGTGGACGAAGCTAGAGTCCATGATTCAGAAGAAGACTCCTAGGAACAAAGCACACCTGGTTCGCCGACTTGTTAAGCTTGAATACAAGGATGGCATGAGCATGATTGAACACCTGAACACCTACAAAGGTGTTGTGAATCAGCTGTCAAAGGCTGATATGAAAATTGATGAAGAATTGCAGGCATTGCTGCTGTTGAGCTCGCTGCCAGAATGCTGGGATACTCTGGTGGTGACCCTGAATAACTCGACTCCAGATGGAAAATTGAAGATGGATGTCGTGACAGACAGCCTCCTGGGCGAAGAATCCAGGAGAAGAGAACGAGGTACTTCGAGTACGTCTGAGGCCAACGTTGCTGAGAACAAAGGGAAATCTGACTCCTGTGGTAGAAGTAAGAGCCGCGGTAGAGGTCGTGACAGACGAGACAAGTCCAGAGGTTGGTCAAAGCCGAAATATGAGTTAAAATGCTTTTACTGTGGAAAGACAGGCCATAAGAAGCCAGACTGCTGGACCCTGCAGAATGACGAGAAGAACGGCTCTGTGAAGCCGGATCAGATTATTCCCAAGAAGAGGGAAGACAAGAGCACCACTGCGGTGGCTGCCAACCCGAATGCCGATATATTCCTCCTAGGAGAGGATAATTATTTGAATGTTGCATATGATGACTGCACCTGGATTGTTGACTCCGGTGCCTCCTTCCACGTTACTCCACACAAAGGTTTTTTCTCCTCTTATCGAGGTGGTGATTTTGGAGTCGTGAAGATGGGAAATCAAGTGACCAGCAAGATTGTTGGTGTCGTTGATGTAACTCTGACCACGGATGTCGGGTGCCGACTTGTGTTGAAGGATGTGAGGCATGTTCCTGACATGCGTTTGAACCTAATCTTGGTAGGCAAACTTGATGATGCCGGGTTAGTGAACTACTTCGGTAGTGTTAGATGGAAGTTGGCCAAGGGAAACGTGGTCGTGGCCCGAGGTAAGAAGGAAGGCTCCTTGTACGTGGTGCAAGGAAAGATCAATGGCGAAGAAGCCAACTCTGTCCGAGATGAACCTAGCTTGGAGCTATGGCACAAGCGCCTCGGCCACATGAGCGAGAAAGGGCTACAGATCCTGAACAAGAAAGGATTACTGACCGGGTTGAAAGGCCAAGCGTTGGAGAGTTGCACGCACTGCCTAGCTGGAAAGCAGCACCGGGTTTCTTTTGTGAGACCGGATCAACCTAGACGACGCAGGTATATTCTTGACCTCGTCCATACTGATGTCTGCTCCATGTCGGAAAGATCCCTTGGAGGAGCTCAGTACTTTGTTTCATTCATTGATGACCATTCCCGCAAAGTGTGGGTATATTTGTTGAAATCTAAAGACCAGGTACTCCAATCCTTTAAAGAATTCCATGCTATGGTTGAAAGGGAGACTGGCAAGAAATTGAAGGTGGCCCGATCTGATAATGGTGGTGAGTATTGCGGCCCATTTGATGCATACTGCAGAGCGGCCTGGGTCCGACTTGAGAAGACGCCACCCAAGACTCCACAGTTGAATGGACTGGCTGAGAGGATGAACAGAACTATTGAAGAGAAGGTATGAAGCATGTTATCCAATGCCGGGTTACCGAAATCATTCTGGGGAGAAGCCGTCAAAATCGCTGTTGACTTGATCAACCTCTCACCATCACGGCCACTTGAAGGAGAAATTCCAGAAGAAGTCTGGACAGGTTGGAAAGCGGCCTATAATCAATTGAAAGTGTTTGGATGCCGAGCTTTCGTGCATATCCCTAAAGATGAAAGGGCAAAACTCGATGCGAAGACAAAAGAATGCATCTATCTTGGTTCGCCGAGATGTGAGTTCGGGTTCCGACTTTGGGATCCAATTAATAAGAAGATCGTGAGAAGCCGAGATGTGATCTTTCATGAGCATGACAACATTCATGACATCTCGAAGCCCAAAGTCCGGGTTACTGTCAGACGTGAAGAACCTATCTCTCTTGTCCGAACTGAAGCAGGGGGAGAAAATCAAGAAAATGAAGAAAATGATGATCAACAACAAGCTGAAGATGACCAAGACACTGAGGTCCGAGTTGATGATGAGATCCGGGATGAAAATGATGAACTGGGTCCTCAAGCTGAAGAACAGCCGAG